TAAAGCTAGATACCCTAATAATGATTGTGGCCAAGTTTGCTTAATTTTGGCCCAGTAGTTTCAGAGGAGAAGATGTTTGTAAAAGTTAACGGACAACAACGGACAATGGACGCCAATTGATCAGAAAAGCTCACTTTGCCTTTCGGCCTGATGAGCTAAAAATTTACTCCAAAAAATTTAAAAAAACGATTTCCAAAATATCATTCATCACTAATACAATGTCTCTAATTAATCTATAAAACTTACCTTTAATATTTTTCAAAATATCTAATAATGAACAGTAAAAAAACTATATTTATACATTATTGCTAAAATTGGAATTTGATGCTATATCTATTTTTAACTATGAATCTACTAACAATTTTTATTACTGTGAGTGTTGCTCTCCACCTTTTGCAGTTTATTTAAAATTCAACTGGTCAGAAATTTTAACTATCTGCATTAGAAAAACACTTTTTGTTAAAATTTCTGACCAGTTGAACAGTTTGGTTTGATAAAACAAATTGCAAATAGGCCAGAATTTTTTTTTGCAATAGGTGGAGAGCAACACTTGCAGTCAAGTCACAGTAATTGTGTAATACAGCTCTGAATTGCATTGTGAAATTTTTTTGACATAGCATAGGTTTCTGACACAGAATGAATATTGTTTAAGAACTTAAAAATTTAAATTGGACATTTAGCTATTATGGTCCAATATCCAAAATCTAAATACATGGTTAGATTCAGCAAAGAACCCCAAGAATTCCATTTATGATGGGAAATCAAACAAAGATTAATTTTTGAACCTTTGGACCTCAATGTGGACCAATTCGATAAAGGGCCCAAAATCTAAAATCTAAAATCTAAAAACAGTTAGATTCAGCATATCAAAGAACCCCATAAATTCAATTTTTGTTGAAATAAAACAAATGTTAATTTTGGACCCGATTTGGACCAACTTGAAATCTGGGCCCCAAAATAAAAAATCTAATACATATTTAGATTCAGTATATCAACAAAAAAAAACTTGAATTCAATTTTTGTTAAAATCAAACCAAGTCTAATTTTGGACCCTTCGGACCTTAATGTGGACTAATTTGTAAACCAGGCCCAAAATCAAAAAACTTAATTCCATGGTTAGATTCATCGTATCAAGAAAACCCAAGAACTCATTTTTTGTTGAAATCAAACAAAGTTTAATTTGAACCCTATGGACCAATTTAATAAACTGCTTCGCTGAGCGCAGCTGGATACGCCCGCAGAGGTCCAACCCTGAACAGTTGGGGCAAAGTTTGATACAGGTCTGAATTTGGATTGTAATTAAATATTTGATATATTATAGGTTTCTGAATAAATGTAGTCAAAGAACTTGAAATTGGTTATATGAAAGATTTCTTGCTGTTGTGCAATACTTAGTTAATCTGTTGTCAGACTATAAACAAATAAAATCTTATAACTCTGAAATGTAAAATCGAAAATTTATAAAAATCAAAAGGGAGCTTACAAAAATAGATATAAACAATTTACCAAAGTCTCATAAAAAATGCTGAAAGCATTTTTGAGTTATTGTCCGAAAACTGAAAAACCCCCTTTTTGTAATGAATAAAAACCCCATAAATATATATTCTGAAATTTATAAAAATCAAAAGGGAGCTCATGTCGACAGAAATAAACAATTCACCAAAGTTTCTTGCAAATTGGTGAAATTGTTTTTGAGTTATTGTCTGAAAACTTGAAAATCCCCCCTTTTTTAATGAATAAAACCCCAAAACTTGGAAACGGTAAATCCGAAATTTATATAAAACGAAAGGGAGCTCACGTCAATAGATATGAACAATTCACAAAAGTTTCATGCAAATTGGTGAAATTGTTTTTGAGTTATTGTCCGAAAACTGGAAAATCCCCCCTTTTTTAATGAATAAAACCCCAAAACTCGGAAATGATAAATCTGAAATTTATAAAAAACGAAAGGAAGCTCACGTCAATAGATATATAAACAATTCACCAAAGTTTCATGCATATTGCTTAAAGCATTTTTGAATTAATGTCCGACATGTTGACGACGGACAGACGGACAGACGGTCAGCGGTTTACCATAATACGTCCCGTAAACGGGCGTATAAAAACGGGGCCAAAAATCCAAAATCTAAATACACAGTTAAATTGGCATATTGAAGAACCCCAAGAATTCAAGACTTTGAATTTAACCCCATTGAAATTGGTCAAAAAATAAGCAATTTATACAAAGTATTAGAAAAGTACGGTTTTTGGCCTCTTTCCTAAAGGGTAGGGGCCATAGCCCCAAAATCAATCCCAACCTTCTTTTTTTGATATGGAACCTTATGGTACAATTTCATAGAGATCCATAGACTTATACTCAAGATATTGTCCAGAAATCAGAAAATCCTTTTTTTTTCGCCCATAATTCCTAAACGGTTTGGGTCATAAACCCCAAAATCAATCCCAACCTTCCTTTTAAGTATGGAACCTTGCAGTACAATTTCATACAATCCATATACTTATAAACAAGTTAGTTATTGTCCTGAAACAAGAAAAATGCTTGCTTTTGGCCCCCAATTTCTAAACAGTTAGGATAATATCCCCCAATATCAATTCCAACCTTCCTTTTGTGGTATGGAACCTTGTGGAACAATTTCATAGAGATCCATACACTTGTACTCAAGTTATTGTCTTGAAACCAAACATCATACGACCACAAAATAAAAATTCAATCATAATTTCCTGTCGATATGCACATCTACATAGTATGCCCTAAGTATCTACAAAGTTTCTTGACATTCTGTTGTGTAGTTTCAGAGGAGTTGCGATGACAAGCTGTTGCAGTAGTATATTTAGACTAAAATTCTATGTTCCAAGGGGCATAAATCCTAGAAAAAAAAACAATCATAATTTCCCGTCGACATGCACATCTACAAAGTATATCAATCAATATTATCCACAAAGTTTCATTAAATTCTGTTGTCTGGTTTTAGAGGATTTGCAATGACAAGAACAGGACTGACGGACTGATGGGTCAAAATCATATACCCTACACAACTTAGTTGCATGGGGTATAATAATTTTCAAGATAATAGGCAATAAAATGCTCCACTGGGTGCAGCTTGATACGACCGCAGAGGTCAAACCCTGAACAGTATGGACACAACATTCAAGCTTGTTACAGCACTGAATTTGGATTGTGATTAAATATTTGACACAGCACAGGTTTCTCACACAGAATGAATGTGGTCTAAGAACTTAAATTTTTTTTAATTTACCTATTCAAACCATATCATTATTATTTGCTTTTATATATAAATCAGAAATAACCATATTAAAATGGAAAATTTTAAAGAAAAAAAAATCCCCAGCAAATTTTTTGAACCCCCTTATGATTCATCACCCCCAAACTCAATCCAAGCCTTCCCTTTGTGGTATGGCACCTGCAGTACAATTTCAGAGAGATCCATACACTTGAACACAAGTTATTGTCTGGAAACTAGAAAAATGCTTGTTTTTTGGCCCCTTTTTGGCCCCCAATTTCTAAACGTTTAGGGCAATTACCCCCAAACTCAAACCAAGCTTTCCCTTTGTGATATGGAACCTTGTAGTACAATTTCATAAAGATCCATACACTTACACACAAGTTATTGTCCTGAAACTAGAAAAATGCTTGTTTTTTGCCCCGAATTCCTGAACTGTTGGTACCATAACCCCCAAATTCAATCCCAACCTCCATTTTGTGGTATTGAACCTTATGGTAAAATTTCATAGAGATCCATTCACTTAAACTAAAGTTAGAGTGCGAAAACCAATGTGTCTTTGGACGACGACGAGGACGCCAACGTCATACCAATATACGACCGCAAAATTTTTTTGCAGTCATATAAAATGGTAAAACTCTTCTTTAAGGGCAATTACTCCTATAAAGATTTGATTTAATCAAGACAGTAGGTAGATCGCAACATTCAGAACAATTCTGCCCATGTAGGATTTTCTCCATCTATTGCAGTTTTTAAGATAATAGACAAAACTTCCACTTTAACCCTATGTTTTTTTTAGCCATGTCAGCCATGTTGGTTAGCAGGCGGGATCGTCAGACATACCTTTAAACTAGATACCTCAAATATGATTTTAGCCAAGTTTGGTTTAATTAGGATCAGTGGTTTCAGAGAAGATTTTTGTAAAAGTTCATCATCTACAACAATGGACAATTGACGACAACTGACAACAGAGGTAAAGTGAAGAGAAAAAGTTGAGTTTTATGCATTGTCAGTTCAACGGATTTAGACTTATTTGTAATTTTCTCTTCCCAATTTTGACAGAATGTGAATTCACATTGGGAGTGATGCATACATAGCTTGAGATGCTTGCCCAGTCAACAAACCCTTTCTCACTCCTATTTCAAGATCTTGCTATTCCTCAGTTTTTTATCGTTACCTTTTTTTGTCTCTTCCAGGAAGAGTCTTCCTTATTGATTTACAAGCTTTGAATTCAGTAAACAGCTGTGGCCTTAAATAAGTCAGTACCCTATGAAAATAACCTGCTTAACACTTATCACAATGTATGTGTTAAAAAGTCAAAACTCCTACAAATACTGTCAAATCATAATGATGGGGTAATATGAGTGACTACTGATGACCACCAAATATGCCTACAAATGACAGCAAAAGGACCAAAAAAGCCTCCAAAGAGATATGTTAACAAGTTAATTGAAGGACATTAGTGTGCTACAGAAGAGAACAACAAAACAGCTGTGTCTTAAGTACCTTCTTGAAACTGGATAAAATATCTTTAGATCTTGTTACTTTAATACTACAAAATCTATCTGTTAATGGATAAATTTAGAAAATCAGTGGATTGTGATATTGGAAATGGTATTTCTTGGTAATTTGTAAAACACTTATCTCTCAAGTTATCAGGAAGAAGGTATTCCATTATTGTGTACTTTTAAGATAGTTACAGAAATATAAATTTCCAAAAGTGCCTATGACATAAGAAAGAAATAAACAAATACAAGATGCAATTAACAGTTTTATTATAAGGCTGTCACTACAGACAGTTCTAATAACATTGTGCCGTAATATGACCCTATCGTGCTTATCACATCAGATGAGCTTCAATCCTAGATACAGTCTAGTTATTGTTTACAACACCAAATACACAAGGAGAGAAACTGGTACAAAAATACGGCTACTTGGTGAAATGAATGTTTCATTCCTATTTTTGCTTATATGTGAAATTATCATTGTATGTAATTGTCTTCTTGTCAAAGATTTCAAAGCTTAATTTACTGGAGTAAACTAAATGTTTAAATTAAAAAATGAATCTGTAAAATAGAATAATATGGAAAAAAACTAAAATGCAATCTTTTATATGTTTGATTCTGTTCATCAACAAATTGTTATCTTTCAATATACTTGTAAAAGTATTTTGCAAAGATCTACACATAAAATATCAATTTTCTTACAACTGGTTAAATCTATTCAGACTGTTTTAGGATTTAATACTAAATAGCTGTTAAAAATCAATACAACTGCTTCTTCTGTAACTGTAACTCAATAGATTTGTGTCAGAGTAATTTTGACTTTATAGTTCAGTTTTTTATAGACCCTTCAACAATCTGTATATATTTAGTAGTGACAATTAAGGAAATAGGTGTTATCTGGTATAATTTCAAACATTCAACTATCAAAATTTGAAATGCAGTATGTACTCATTACATTTAATCAGTAAATGCAACACACTAATATCATGAAATAAGATTTGTGGTGATATTTTCAACAAATACTACTGTACATGGACTGAAGCTGCATGATAGTGCTATTGTTATTAACATCAATATTGTAGATGTTATATATTTCTCAATTAAGGCCTTAAAAAATAATGTTAAGATTCTCTTCCAAAACCTATAGGGCATGGCAAGAGGAATTTACCTTTAATTTTTAATTTTAAATTGCACAAGACGCATGATTGGTCAAGGAAATTATGAATTGCCTAAACTGACCATAAAGCCTTTTATGGCGACATGTGAGAAGAAACAAGATTTCTCAATGGTAGTTCTCAATACCGTTAATAAAATGTAAAACTTATCTAGATTTATTAAGAACAAATACAAACCAGTTATAAATAAATGGGGAATGTGTCCATGGGACACAGATAATGCCCCCGCCTGCATATAACGTTATAAAAGGACATAACTCAAGAACGGTAAAAGTGACACTACCAAATTTTCGTACTTGATCTGATTTTTATGGTAATAACCATTGTGTATAAGTTTCATAACATTTGGGTGAGGCAAACTGAAGAGAACAGAAACGAAAAATTCAGCAATTTTTTCATTTGTAAAGGGGCATAACTCTAGAAAGGTTAAAGTGACGCCACCAAAATTCAATTTGGATCTGTGTTTTGTGGTAATAAGCATTATGTATAAGATTCATAACGTTTGGTTGAGGCAAACTAAAGTTAGAGAATGGAAACCAATTTGGGGACGTACAGACGGACAAGGGTAAAACTTAAGCCCCCTCAGCTACGGAAGGGGCATAAAAAAGGAACAGAAATCTGAATATTTGCCTGTAAAGCACTTTGAATTTGTGAATTTGAAGGTTAACCCACCATGGCATGAGAACCAAAAGATTAGTTTTTATTGCCTTACATTGAACATATTACAAGGTTAAACTGATAAACTTTATTGTATGATAATCATAGTGATGTTATAGGTATCAGTAAAAATAAATAACAGAAACAAAAATAATTTTGATTGCACAAATTATAAAACAAATGTTAACCAATCAAAATCTGAGTCCTACTCTGCCAGTCAAGATGATCAATAATATCACTAAACTTTGTGCTCGAGTACAAAGGAAGTTACTCACCAAATATGAACTAAAAACAATTCAGCTGTAGCTCCATTGGTTAACCATAAAAAACAAATTTAAATTGCACATCAGAGCGAACATTGTAATTTACCCTTTGCTTGACATAATTGTTAATATCTGCCATAATGACACAAAAAATAATTGAAAAGTATAATAAGCTAGCCATTTAGAGGATGCAATGCATTGTTTAGTTTTTATTAAATAAATGAAGTTAAATAAATGAGAAAATAAACAACAAAATATAAAGTTAGGCTTTCGTAAGCGCTTGCCGAGATGTAAATCATGGTAAAACTTGTAAACATATACAATGTATCGGTTATGTCAAAAAACATAAATTTCGTGAGGCAAAACTAACAAAATAATAAAAAAAAATCTGGCAGAGTACAAAATATACTTGTAAAATATAAACATACCACAACCAAATAGTTAGTAACGGATTTCACAAGATATATAAATAGATTTCTGAGATTGTTAAAATTCAATATATATAAATTGCAATGCCACAAATTAACAACTAAATTTTGTTTATAAACAAAGTCAACAAATATATAAATATAATTCAAGAATAGAAATAAGAAAACAACAAAATATTTGTAAATTAACGAGTTGGATTTCATGGAATGCAATAATATTGGAATTCTTTTTACAAAACCACTGTTTCTTGTATATGTTAAGCCAAGAAATGATTAACACTGGTATATCATTATATGAACAACAAAATGATATGAAATCATTAACAATTTCTTTGAAATAGTTCCAGTAAATGAAGAAGAAAAAAATGTGTCACAATACCATTTTTTCCAAATACAATTTACATGAAGAATTTATTAAACTAAAAAAAATAAAGACAAGTCAAAATTTTCACCGATTTTTACATATAAGTAGTTTTGTGTTCTTTTAGCATCTGTCTCTTAGTGACTGTGTAAATAATTACACTTATAATAATACAACCATAATTGAACAAATTAACATCAAAATTCCAAGATCAAAAGTTCAATAATGTTGATTAAAACAAAATAAATTTAAATTAGTTGAGTACACTCTATCTCTGGCATTCTAACAATTTTTTCTTTAGTGAAAAGAAATCAAGCAACCAGACAATAGTTTTACATGACCTTACTGTTCAACATGGTCTTCTAATAATTGAATTTTAGACCAAGATTCCTATTTTGAATGGCCTTATATTTAGAAAGTGTGTATCTGAGCAATGAATACAAACACATTCATCAACTTTCAGCATGTTGCATGGATAGTCATTAATGATGTCTAATTTTTTTGGTAAACAACTGAAAAAGGCTGATATATGTATCAGTTGATAATGATATGAGAAATATGATCATTTTGGCAACTAACAAATGACTTACGTTTCTGACATCAAATTTTACTGAAACATTTCAAACATTCAACAAAGTAAAATTGTCATTTAGAAGCATGTTGTGTTTTTTCATATGAATGTCATTCTCAGATTCATACCCAAGATGAATGAGAATATTTGACCCTTATATTTACAGCTTGTGCCTAAGTAGACGTCACATCCATTAGGATATATAAAGAAGAAAACACACTGGGGCACAATAAATACAGAATATACAAATTATCTACAAATATACTACAAATCAATAACCATACACAGCCTCCAAAACAGTCATTATACAGGGATCATGTTCACTTCGATCAATTGAACAGGATATTTTATTGAATTGAAATTCAAAATATCTGTTAAATTTTACCTTTTTTTTTCTCATCTATTTTAACGTTTTGAAAGTAAAAGTTGAAAATGATCCCTGCAAACATAAAAACAAAATTAAATATAAATTACAACCCTTTTAACTTTTTCTATCATATTTCAAGACTATAACGTTTTTACTATCTGGAAGCTGATGGTCATAACTTGAAAAAGATTAAGTGAGGAAAGGTAATTACAAACTTTGACACTATTCTTCTTGTTATTCAATATAAAAGTATGTACTACTAGAAGGAATGTTATTATGCTAAGACTATTAAATGCTTGGTCATGGAATATTTGTATAATGAATATCATTTTTTTATGATATATATCTCAGCATTTTGATATTCATATAATCCAATGTTTTAAAACACAATCTATTCTCTTATTCCTCAGATCAAATTGTCCTTTCTACTATCCAATCAACAGCGTTCTCAGCATTGACAACCACTGTTCTGTGGGTTGGGGTTTTCTGTGAGACGTGTTCCTTTAGCCTGGCTGTTAACAAGGGATGGGTCTGAGTCTAGACTTTCAGACATCTTGTCACAGATGATGTCCACCAATCTTTCAAACACTGCTTTGACATTGATGTTTTCTTTTGCAGATGTTTCAAAAAATTCTAATCCTACAAAAATAAATCAAGAATTACAGTAAAACAGATCTATAAATTACTCAGAACGATAGAAGTCATGGCAACATTTTACATATTTTAAGCATCATTAAAACAAGTGACAGACACACTGACAGAATAAAATTCAATATAAATCAAATCCTCTGTGGACTTCATTAGAGAACTATATCAATCAGAACTCCTTAGTTTCATTTCAAACTTTAATACAAAATCAAATTTCCTAAGTCCTTCCTTTGATAATATGAAAAAGTTATTTTCTTGAAAGTCAAAGGTGAAAAAAATAGCTCACAAAGCACCTAAAACATTAATCTAATTTGAAATCTGAAGACATGATTAACAAAAAACTTTTAAAAACTATATTAACGTTTCAGTGACAGATCGATGCTAATATTCCTTATTACATCCTATAATCTTACCATCTTATGTATCAAAAGTTATTTGTGCTACATTTATTTTTAAAGCAATTACATGACAGATTCACATTTATAAAGCAAACTTGACATTCTCAACTGTCTAATCCTATTTTGGTGTTCACTTTTAACAACAATACCCAGAATACTTTAGTTTATTGAAAAGCTGAATTGAAATTTAAGAAGAATCTGTCCATGGGACAGATATGCCCCTGCTTGTAAATATGGAAGAGCCAATGTACACTCTAGTGGATAGATGTTTCATTGGCAATCATTACATCTCCTTATTTTTATATTAATTCAAACTTTAAAGCTCATCTGAATTTATGAATTCTAAATCTACATCAGAATACTAAATCAGTTTCGAGACATTTTGGATGACTTTGGTTAATACTATAACAATATTTCCACAAGAAATGGATCTTAAAATATTTCATTATAAATATTTATGAATTACTTAAGATTAAAGAATACACAAAAGCACTGTGAGCACAGTTCCCATAATATTCACCCCAGTCCATGATTTTTCTAAGGGAAACACCCCCAAAATAATTTAGATCAATAAACAAAATAAGTGCACAATGGCGTTATAAGAAAATATCCCATTATTTCTAATCTGGGGTTAAGGAGGAGTTGGGGAAACTGAAATGGGATGGAAGGACAGACAAACATAGAAACAAATAAATTGCTCTCTTGTAACAATACACCATCCATTTCAGAATCTTGATAAAATAAAGTTACTAAAACATAAACTGTCAGAACCATTGATTGTAAAATTCATAACAGAAAGTTCAAAAGGAATACATCTGCAGAGAATTCATTGTAACAATACATGAAAGATGATAAATAATCCTCTGGAAAACAACTAATTCTTGTCTAAAGAAAAATACATTTGATATATCAATATTTCAAGACTATATCCATTAAGTGATTCCTTGACATTTGTTTGCCAATAACTGATGAGATTATAACATTTTCTTTGAAGTCCCAGTACCATTAAAAGATATGAAGTGTTTTCACTTTCATCTTAATTTGGTTATCTCTACAGAATTTTCAAAATCGTTAAATAATTTACTTATAAAAGGTCACCATCATCACGATTATAAAAATTTAATGCCACTGGCTGATTACATCTGAAATATCAAATTAGATTGGTCTACAAATTTCCTGTAGAAAATTGTGTAATCCACCTCCATCAACCTTAAGCAAATTACATTACAAATTTAGCCGTGTAACAATTTCTTATTAGAAGTGATTTAAATCACGTTGGATAGGAACATTTTGCCTTTGAAGGAAAAACTAATCTTAGAATACTGAAGAAAAACAAGATTAATCCATTCATACCCAGTGGGAATAACCAATATATCTGACTTAACAATGATCAAATTCTGTAACCAACTTCACTGTCATGTATCACACAAGTAAAGCATGTTATACAGTAGAGACAACCACAACTAAAATTTATAAACATCTAAGGTTGAAAAGATTTCAGGTCATATATGTAAGCTTTAAACTTATGATGGCTGGTTTATAATAGTTCCTTAAACTTTTTTCCTCCTTATATCCTATAATCAGTTCTCAACATACTATTGTTGAATGTTCATGAATGAAGACCTTGACTCAATGTTCGCTTATAAGTTTCATTTAGGCAGTTTTAGAATTTCTTATTCAAGTTAACGCAATAATGATAACTAATCAAGGTGAAGATCTTGAACCTAAATAAACTGTTGACAAAAAGATATGTCTCGCCTGTCAGCATAAAACTCAGAAAGACAACCTGATGGACAGCAACATTGCTTATTAATTCAAAGTCGCTGGATCATGATCTAGTGGGCAGGGCCTGAAAATGGTCGACAAACTGAGATATACAGACAGTAATGTAACTTTATAGAAAATATCGTTGTCTATTGTAAGTAGTTCCTATCAATCTAACTTAAGCAGAAAACTTAACATTGAAAATTGCTAGTTAACTCAAAGTCACTGGACCATGTCCAAGGGGGCAGGGCCTCGAAATAGTCGTCAAACTGATATGTACTGCTAGTAATGCACCTTCATACAAAATATTATTGATCTATCACAAGTAGATCCTATCAAACTAACTTAAGCAGAAAACTCAACATTGAAATATGCTAATTAATTCAAAATCACTGGACCATGACTTAGGGGGCAGGGCCTCAAAAAAGTTGTCAAACTGATATGTACTGATAGTAATGCAACTTTATATTAAATATCGATGATCTATCACAAGTAGTTCCTATCTTTAAGCAGAAAACAAACAATAGTTGACCCCTTTGTCGCCAATGCCGTCGCCTGAAAAGCAATCCCTATGTCTCTCTTTCCATGATTTTGCGTTGCACGCGAGACATAAATCACACAAACATGACATTTTGTGAAACATTCAGGATTTAAAGAAGCCTCTTAGATTTACTTTTTCTTATATTATATGTGATCATATAAGTAAAGCATTTCCAAACACTTGCTGAAGGTAATGATTAATTGTTCCTTTCTTGGTTTGTGTCCATGGGAACAATGATTTGCCTACATAATTAATGACTGAATAATTTGCATTCATCACAAGTGAAACAATAACTACTATCAGTCATTAAATTCATATAATTAGAGAATTGTGAAACACTGTTTTGTAAAATGAATGACTGGGTGCAGATTACAACATGGATTTGATACCTAGTTGGTCAGCCAATTGTTTTCCTCGTTCCATTGATACAACACGTTCATCTTCCAGATCACATTTGTTTCCAACTAATACAACTTGGGCATTATCCCAAGAATATGTCTTGATTTGTGTGCACCTGTAATTAACATTTATATCTGTCAATAAAGTTGTGGCTGATTCAATACACCTTACACCTACCTGTAACTTGTAAAGTACCTTAAAGGTGTAAAACATTCAAATTGGGGTTATACCTCTTGTTAGCACAGTATAACTATCAGTTAGCCTTGCAGCCTACTTACATGTATATATATCTACAAACTGTTGCTGAAATCAGTTTAATCTAAAAAGGATGAATAAACAGACTGCATATAGCCCTTTCTAGAAACTCATTTAAGGAACCATTATTTTGCTCCAAAGTTATAATTTGAAGTAGGTCTTTTTCCTTGTCGGGAAGTAGAACTATTTTATGGAAATGAATCCCTGTTGACTTAAAGATAATATTTTGTTTATATAAATATCAAAATTCTTAATGGTCTTTGACTTTCAACATTCTTGTAATCAAACTCAATTTTAAACTGGAAATGTTTGTAACTAATAGAATGTTTACTTCTCATCATTGCTCTCCACTACAGCTAACCAGTATTAATACCAGTATACTTCCCAACATGTGAAAAAGCTTGTATTCAATTGCAATTTTAAATTAGATTCAGGCTTTCGGAGGTGAGTTTCTACAAAGTCCTATACATATATTAATAGCAAGAAATAAACAAGCCATGCTGAAAGCCTAATCATGCAAAAGATGGCTGGAGGCAGTAATATCCCAACACTTAAATGAATACATGTATCTCACAAGGAAACAGAAGACTTACTTTCATTACATAAAATACTGTAAACATAAGGACACTGAAGACTTCTTTTAATACATTATATACTGGATACAATGTTCTATGTTTCATTTACCCTATCTATTAAGGGTTATTTTTGCACAAACAAAAGTAACAGTAAAGTCTATGATATGATTAGGGATCCCCCCAAAATAATTCAGATTAAACAAGAATGTGTCCATAGTACACGGATGCCCCACTTGCACTTCAGTGGACCGTGAAATTGGGGTCAAAACTCTAATTTGCCATTAAAATTAGAAAGATCATATCATAGGGAACATGTGTACTACTGGGTAAGTTTCAAGTTGATTGGACTTCAACTTCATCAACAACTACCTTTATTAAAAACTTTAACCTGAAGCGGGACAGACGGACGGACAAACAGACGCACAAACCGAAAAAACATAATGCCCCTAGGTGGGGGCATAAAAACAAAACAGGTGATGCACAAAGTCATTGTTTGATGAAGATTATAAAAATCTTCATCTTATTCTGATTAAAGTTTATGCCAAAGTAAACCTCAAAGATGGATCAAAGTCTTAATTGGCTGGGTTGCAATATATGTGACTATCGTAATCAATGTAGAATGTTTACAATGTAGTTGCAATTACATGAAGGTTGTAAATTTTGCTGAAAAATAATTAAGTTCCAAAGTCCGGAAAAATGTGAACAAATTCTTCAAACAATTCCATAATAGCAGGTGCACAACTTCAAAATTAGTACAATCTTTCTGTGAAGTCTTGGGGATCTTGGTTGAAAACTGTAGAAGTTGAAAACCTATTGAATGTTATTATTATATATGATATCAAGTAATGAAGATAGTTTACAGTCGCTCAAGTTTATTACCGGTATAAAGAATTTTTCTCTTGTCAAAATAATAAAATGAGTCTTTCTGTACAAATAACAGACTATGTTACAGTGTCCTTGGAGAGTTATATTATTCTCAACAATAAAATTTCCTCCTGAGATACATATTTAGAATGTGCTGCATTAAAATAACATAGATAGCCAAAAAAAAACAACATATTGTTTGCTCATAAAAGTTAAACAGTGTTATAAGGCATGCAATGTAATAAACTGTCATCACAAAAATTGCATGAGAACAAACAATATGCTTTGAAAGATCTAATCCCATGTCCATTTTATATTGGTTTGTTGCTTCATTCATTCAAAAGAGATCATTTATTTCTGTTGTACATGACATCTTTTGTGCTGTTTCTGAAAGATATTTTAACCACATCTTCTCAAGCTTAAACAGATTACATTTCCTAAATTTGTTAATATAAAACTGACAGGATTTATCCTTAGCTGAAATGTTGTTTGGGTTACGGTTTACAAGAAAAGTTACAACCTTCTCCCTCTAGTGTGTATCATTGACCATCAATTTAGATACAATACAGCCAGCCTAGATTCAGAAAGAGGACATTCATTATCATATAAATTTGAAGTTCTGCATTTGCAGAGTCCAATGCGTAATGCTTCATAGATAATCTCAGAAATGTGAAAAATAAACTATTGATAGAAAATCCCTTTACCCTTTAACACCAGCCTCAATGTTTAGCTACTTCGTTAACATCTGACATCTAGACAGTAGGATAATCCTTTCCTTAGTTAGTAAACAGTAAGTATAATTCTCTTTTCTGTTACTAATCAGCATACCCTTATTTTACTGTTCCTTATAAATTCTGTGATAAATCTCCCAGTTTATTCCCATCTTTCAGAGCTTATCAAATAATTTATGATTGCTTACGTCACTTGATCTCTTTAAATTCAGTAAACCAGAAACAAGTGTAGGCAACATGGACAAGAAATAGAAATAAAAGGAGATGTGCCCCCAGGGGTATATGACAATATAGATAGCAATCCTTAAAACACAAATAAAAACATCTTGAGGTCAACATATGGTCTTCAAAAACAGATAAGTATGTAAATGAAATATTTCAAGCTCAAAATCGCCCAGTCTATAAAGTGTAAATAAACCAAATAGAGGCTCAAAAAGATCTTCCACCAACAACATGTGAACTCATGAGGTCAAGAACCAATCATAAACAAGTCCCAACTAGCAAAAGATAAATAAGCCTTGAAGTAATTCTATAATGCATTGATGCAAAGTCTGGTTGACAAAGTGTTTTAAGAGAAAAAGAAAATTTACAATGTAATTAGTTATTTATGACCGAATTATTAATAATCAAATCTGCTTTATAAACCACCTAAATAAAAGTTAAACTTTAATAATTCTGATTTAGGGTCATAAATATTCATTGGAAAGTTAAAATTGATATAATGCAACTTTAATTACATTACATCATGAAAATGGAAGCTATGGAGCTAATAAGTTATACAGGGTTGGATATCAGATTATTTCAGTCAGTTTTATATAAGAGTTATAATTTTATTGTCAATCATAAAATTAATAAGCCAAAAGCATGCAACAGTTATTTTTGTTTACCTCTATAGTATACAGAAACAGCACAAAGGAATTCCCATATCCACAGAAACAAAAAAAAGTTCATATTCCAATTTATTCATAGTAAATCTATCATTGACTAGAAGGATCTCTTTTGAAGGTATTTTTCCTCCACCATATATTTCTATTATTTGTGTGTTCCTCTGTGTTAAGTATGATAACTGAATATCATGTATAACACTTTTCAAAGAAATGGTTTCAAAGTGTGAAGTTAGTCAGTTTTGAAAGGAAATCTGTTACAGAATATCTTTTTCTAAATTTCCTCAATATAATGTAATTTTGAGCTAGAAAGTTTAAAAAAAAAACGAAAATTTAGTCTAATTTAGTCTAACATAGAGCCATCAAATTACTGAACTTTATGAACTGATTTCAATTTAATTCAGAAACAACAAACTAAAGTAATTTTTTTTTATTATTTTCATGTTCTCAGATCAAACACAGAACTGACAATCTTCATCCACTCTTGGGAAACAGAACATGAGAAGCAAGAGTCATGCTAGTAATGTTAGTATTACCTAAATTCTGTGCTAATTCTTCCCCGTCTTTAGTAGAAACGACACGGGATTCTTCTAAATCACATTTGTTACCCACTAGTGTCACAGAGGAGTTACTCCATGCATGTGTCTTTATCTGAGTACACCTAATACACAAGCAGAGAGTAGCCAACAAAATACACCATCACAACAATAAACTATCAGTAACATAGTAAACATCAGAACTTTATTGGAAAAATAGCCAAAATGCACATAAATGAAATTTCTAAATCATAGCGTCTTTCAAATTCAATTCATATTATATCTTCACGAGGTCAGAAATAATGTTCAAAACTTGATGTTGCTTTACAATCCTCACTTACCCTAGATCCCACAAAAAGATTAAATTAACATAAACCATAAAGATGAAGGTGGGCAGGTGATTATGAATATATTCTTGTTACATAAACTAATAATTGTACTGATTTTAACACTCCTGTTTCAAAAACGTCAACCTAACACCCCTCCCCCCCACAAAAAAAAAAAATACATGTAAACCTTACAAGTAGGCAGTTTTTTTTTCCATTTTTAGTGGGTATAGGAAAAACATATGTATCACTGATATTTTTTTTCATTGTTTCAGGAAGTTTTGTAATGTAAAGCTGGGCTTTCTAATTTGTTTTGTGACACAGTTGAAAACAAATTAATGTCAAAAATCAATTTAATTCCTTTTCATATGGAAGCCAAAGTTTAAAAACAGAAATTAATTACTTTTAAAGAAGGATCTCGAGCTACTATTTCAAAGGAATTTTACATTGTAATTGATTAAATTGAAAAAGTTGTGTAACTAAAGAATAAAGATCTGAAAAACCAGTAATAACATTCTTACCCAAAAGCTTTTTTAAAAATCTAAACTGGGTAACATTTTTAACTTACACTGCCACGGATTTTGAAATGATCTATCTTCTACTGAAAATCACCTATTTCCCTCCAGTATGGAGGGTGGCAAATAAAGTGTGAAGTATGACAATAAAAATAAAATCACAATAGCCTTAAAATGATTTTCTGTATTTATGTAAAATGATCAGTGTAATTTCACCTTTTGATATTTCATATTGATCAATGTACAAAACATAAAGTATCAAGTCATGTTCTGATGTTCACCATATACTGACAGCTGGATATAAATTAGTTATATGTGCAGGAGAAATTGCAAATAAAAAAGCAGTGCAGAATTAATACAATTTACAACATTTAGATGTAATAAAGGGTAGTTTAATATGACACAGTGGTAATTTTAAAGGTTGTCTACAATTATAATGTTAGTATATTCCCAAAACTGGCTTGCAGTTTGATAAACCTTGTATGATAAATTAAAATTGAATTTGACTTCAATGTGAGGAGGACCAAAATGTAATCACTTAGTATCTCAGAAATAGACTTACTTGTTAAAATTAATACAAATCAACATCACATAAAATATAGGTCAGAAGGTAGTTATTTCATTTGTATTCATGTAACATCTAGGTCATTAAGTACCTAAGATCTGAACTTGGTCAATAAACTTAAATGTAATCAATTAGATGCATTCAGGGTAAAGTATAGGTCCAAGTGATTACTTATTTAAGCAGTTTCATTTTACACATACTATGTCAATGTTTCATTCTCATTTTGAAGAGAAAGCATTTTAATTTTCCCAATTTCTGTGTAAGAAAATTGTTAACCTTACAGCAAAAATAAACGGGGCTTAGTATATTGCTTGCTTGGGATGTTAGTCTATAAATGAGAGCACAACAAAAATATCCACAAAATATAAATTTTCTTTTAGAACTAACATGACTTTATAATATTCAAAGTAATTTGCATTTATGGTAATTCAAAATGCATTTGTTTTAACCCTTATAGGGTATTTTTATAAATAGTAAAGGCAAAAGTCTTGTGTGTTTTACGAAGATCGTTCGAAGTAAATGCTAATAACACATGAGGTCTACCATCCAAAATTAAATAACACATGTATCAGCAAAATAAAAAATCACAAGTAGAGCTACGGTGCTCAATTTGATGACAAAATTTCATATCTCAAAGGCATTTTTCTAGTACTCTTTGCTTTACACAGTGTTATTTATCTTCATCCATGACTCTTTAACAAAACTAAATTTGTTGTCAATTTCGCAACCTTCAGGTGATAATTGACTGCATGGCATTATAAACATTTTCCTGGAATAATTCTAAACATAAATGACAAAACTTCTGTTTTTATGTTGGAAGTAGAAATTGACAAACACAAAATAGATAATGAAATGACTGGATAGTAAAATAATGTGACAATTAGGGCATTACATTTTCTTTCTACACAATTGATTCTTTTTTCAGTTGTCAATTGTAGCTCATTTGTCCCTAAAACTTCAAGGCTTGGCTTAATCTACATGATCATTCTAAGAAATCGATTAATACAGGGATTTTAAATGTTTCTCATAAATTGATTTGAACATAGCATGATAGCTGACATCAATTTCTACAGAATATGTGTTAAATTCAACATATAGTTTAGTATCCTAATTTACTCAGTGATGAAACCTTATGGAATTCACATTTCAAACAAAGTTATACCAAGAAAAACATCATCATCAAGCCTGGCATGTGTGTTGTGCTGCATTTCTCATATAATCTTTATTACAGCCCCTAAAAGGAACTAGTTGTTTTCCTTTTAATAGGGAATTTATTAAATTTATGTTTACATCTTAAGACAAGGATGTGTTTGTTTTCTCTACACTAATGTTCTAAGGTAGTAAGAAGAGTGCTGAATACCTGCCTTATGTCTAAGGATTGAAATTCATTTTTTTTTTTTTTTTTTTTTAAAACAAGGTTCGGATAATCAATTTTACAGGGTATACAAAAATACCTTTAGCTGTGTATTCTTGTGTTAAAAACAAAATTTTCAAATAACTAGAGTATTTTTTCCCTTCATTTTACTTAATTGTTGGCTAGCTTGTTTGTTTATATTTATATGTTACAAATTAACAGATTAAACTGTATGCAGTGTAGCAAATACTAACCAATCTTGTACAGCATTAAAAGATTCTTCATTTGTAACATCATACATAAGTATAAAGCCCATAGCACCTCTGTAATATGCAGTAGTTATAGTTCTATAACGTTCTTGACCAGCTGTATCCTGTAATACAAATGGTCAAATTTAGATAATTTTTTTAGCTTCTTACTTGTAGTACTGAAGTAAGAACAATTGTTAGCAATATCTAACATTACGATATCTAGTCTACCTGGCTGACAACTGGAAAAATAAGAAGCATGTATAATTCTAACAAGATTTTTGATTTTAGATAACGTAATGGTATCATATTAGTCAATGTCATCTGTTTCATGCATTGTAAATAGGTATCACTGTCAGAAAACCCAATTAGCTCTATAGATTCAGGAGCACTGATCTTGTTTATATTCTACAGGTTTGTCCCTTGTTTATATTCTACAGGTTTGTCCTTGTTTATATTCTACAGGTTTGTCCCTTGTTTATATTCTACAGGTGTGTCCCTTGTTTATATTCTACAGGTGTGTCCCTTGTTTATATTATACAGGTTTGTCCCTTGTTTATCTGCAGGTTTGTCCCTTGTTTATATTCTACAGGTTTGTCCCTTGTTTATATTCTACAGGTTTGTCCCTTGTTTATATTCTACAGGGTTGTCCCTTGTTTATATTCTACAGGTTTGTCCCTTGTTTATATTCTACAGGTTTGTCCCTTGTTTAAATATTCTATAGGTTTGTCCCTTGTTTATATTCTACAGGTTTGTCCCTTGTTTATATTCTACAGGTTTGTCCCTTGTTTATATTCTACAAGTTTGTCCCTTGTTTAGGTTTGTCCTTATTTATATTCTACAGGTTTGTCCCTTGTTTATATTCTACTGGTTTGTCCCTTGTTTATATTCTACAGGTTTGTCCTTGATTATATTCTACAGGTTTGTCCCTTGTTTATATTCTACAGGTTTGTCCCTTGTTTATATTCTACAGGTTTGTCCCTTGTTTATATTCTACAGGTTTGTCCTTGTTTATATTCTACAGGTTTGTCCCTTGTTTATATTCTACAGGTTTGTCCCTTGTTTATATTCTACAGGTTTGTCCCAGTACAGCAGTTTTCATACTTATAACTCTTCTATTTCTGCACTTAAAAAAAACCTAATATCAATATCATAAACTAGTTTAATTTGACAGCAGTAATTATGGTAATGAAATGAACAAGTACACATAATTACATCACAACTTAGGTTGTTATGATGCATGACTGTAAGTAAATTATTCATTTTCATTCAATTAGTTTCTGGATTCTGCTGAACAAACTGTCATGGTAACTATATTATTCCCTGTAGAACTATAAAATCTTCTACCACTTAGAATTTATGGATGTCAATCAGTTTAATGATTACATTGACAACATTAGTTGATTCATTAACTCACTTCATGCATTCTGAGTGCATGTATTCTAAAACATACATCCATTACATGTACTCTAAAACATACATCCATTACATGTACTCACTGACAAGTCTTTATGAAAAGAATGAATATGGTGTAATGATTAATGACGAAAGCTACCTATACTTGACAAAAGCTACCTATACTTAACAAAAGCTACTTATACTTGACATAAGCTACCTAAACTTGACAAAATCTACCTAAACTTCAGTCTTGACAAAAGCTACCTATGCTTGACAAAACCCAAACCCAAATATAGATGGAACAGTGCTTTTATTGCTGTTTTTTTTTAATATTTTTACCTACCGGGTAATCTTATTAACTTTGTATGACATCAAACAATCTGCTCTGAATGATTGCAGCAAATAAAGCCATTCAAACTTGAAAAATTTGAATCATATCATAATCACAAGCTGAAACTAGCAGGAATTGTAACTAGGTCTAGAACCTTTAAGTGTCATTTCAGATAGATCGTATTCTACATTGGAAAATAAAGCTAATTTGACCATTTTATGCCATAGACAAATTAATAGTTTAAGAAAATTTCATTCGTAAAAATTTCCAATCTCACTATTTTATTATCTTGCATACAACTCATGTCAAAATCACAGAAAAGAAATACAATGCAAAACTGTTTTCAGTAACTTTAATGTGAATACAACACTTGACTGCCAAGTATGGATAACTAGAGGTGATCATACAATTCACAACAATAATAAGTAAATTTGGAAAAACCATTTCATTAACTTTCAAATTACCAAAATTTCATGTATTGTGAATGAGCTCAACACAGATGATCTTCCTACATATGAACAATGGTTAACTGGTTCACAGGGAAAAAAAGAAGCCATAAAGCTGTTGGAATGAAAATAAATAATAAAACATTTTGATGGAGGAAGATTACTACCTTTCCAAAAAAAAATCTGGGGAGTATATAGTTATTGCTTTGAACTTCCATCTGTTTTTTTTTATGATAAGATTTCTTTTAAACAGGAATTTAATAATTTGAAAACTTACTAGCTGTAATAATTTGAAAACTTACTAGCTGTAATAATTTGAAAACTTACTAGCTGTTTAAGATATATTTAACTGTGCCTCAATTATTATTCAATAAAGAAAGCCGATAATGCATTGTAGTTCACCCCTTATGCAATAGCCATAGATAAAGTCCTGAATCAGGTTATACTACAAGAAGCCAGTTATCCTTGTCCTTTTTGTATTACAAAGAAGGCATTCGACATTTATGTCAAAGTTGTGTCCAGGAAGCATCTGATCAGGCTGTGCCAACTTTTTACTTCTTTAGGATCAAATAAAATACAAAAGTATTTAATCATCTGATCAAGAATTTGTATAGTACTATACAAATCCTTGATCTGATATGTTAGTTAATATACAAAATGAATATTTTATCATGACAGGGGTGTTGTTTAAGATATATTCTTTTCTTTAATCTCCAGAAACTTGGAGGTTTTAACTGTTAATCTCAATTTTCTTCTGACATTGTCTTAATATAAAAAAGAAGATGTGGTATGATTGCCAATGATACAACTCTCCACAAGAGACCAAATGACACAGAAATTAACAACTATAGGTCACTGTACGGCCTTCAACAATGAGCAAAGCCCATACCTCACAGTCAGCTATAAAAGGCCCCAAAATGACAACGTAAAACAATTCAAACGAAAAAACTAACGGCCTAATTTATGTACAAAAAATGAACAAAAAACAAATATGTAACACATAAACAAACGACAACCACTGAATTACAGGCTCCTGACTTGGGACAGGCACATACATACAGAATGTGGCAGGGTTAAACATGTTGGCGGGATCCCAACCCTCCCCCTAACCTTGGACAGTGGTGGAACAGTACAACATAAGAACAAACTATAATAAAATGCTTCGCTGGGGCGCAGCTTGATACGACCGCAGAGGTCGAACCCTGAACAGTTGGGGCAAGTATGGACACAACATTCAAGCTTGATACAGCTCTGAATTTGGATTGTTATTAAATATTTGACACAGCATAGGTTTCTGACACAGAAAGAATGTGGTCTAAGAACTTGAATTTTTTTAATTTACCTATTATGGTCCAATGTCAAAAATCAAAATACATGGTTAGATTCAGCATATCAAAGAACGCCATATATTCAATTTTTGTTAAAATCAAACAAAGTTTAATTTTGGACCCCAACTTGGACAAACTTAAAAACTGGGCCCATAATCAAAAATCTAAACACATGTTTAGATTCAGCATATCAAAGAATCCCAAGAATTCAATTTTTGCTAAAATCAAACTAAGTTTAATTTTGGACCCTTTGGACCTTAATGTAGACCAATTTAAAAAACGGGACTTAAAATTAAAAATCTAAATACACGGTTAGATTTGGAATATCAAAGAATCCAATTTTCGATGAAATCAAACAAAGTTTAATTTTGGACCCTTTTGACCTCAATATGAACCAATTTGATAGCGGGGCCTACAAATAAAAAATCTAAATACATGGTTAGATTCAGCATATCAAAGAACCTCATATATTCAATTTTTGTTGAAATCAAACAAAGTTTAATTTTGGACCCCAATTTGGACCAACTTGAAAACTGGGCCCATAATCAAAAATCTAAATACATGTTTAGATTCAGCATATCAAAGAACCCCATATATTCAATTTTTGTTGAAATCAAACAAAGTTTAAATACTGGACCCTATCTTGGACCAACTTGAAAACTGGGCCCATAATCAAAAATTTAAACACATGTTTAGATTCAGCAAATCAAAGAACCCCAAGAATTCAATTTTTGTCAAAATCAAACTAAGTTTAATTTTGGACCCTTTGGACCTCAATGTAGACCAATTTAAAAAACAGGACCCAAAATTAAAAACCTAAATACACGGTTAGATTTGGAATATCAAAGAATCCCAATAATTCAATTTTAGATGAAATCAAACAAAGTTTAATTTTGGACTCTTTTGACCTCAATATGAACCAATTAGATAACGGGGTCCACAAATAAAAAATCTAAATACATGGTTAGATTCAGCATATCAAAGAACCCCATATATTCAATTTTTGTTGAAATCAAACAAAGTTTAATTTTGGACCCCAATTTGGACCAACTTGAAAACTGGGCCAAAAATCAAAAATCTAAATACATGTTTAGATTCAGCATATCAAAGAACCTCATATATTCAATTTTTGCTAAAATCAAACAAAGTTTAATTTTGGACCCTTTGGACATTAATGTAGACCAATTTGAAAACTGGACCCAAAATTAAAAATCTAAATACACTGTTAGATTCGGCATAACAAATAAATAAATGTGATCAAAGATTTTACAAATCTAATGCGCCATACTGTGCAATTAAAGATTACTTCTTGAAATTTTTCAATATTTGAAATTTGAAAAAAAAAAAATATTTGAAGAATAATTCTTTTTAATTTCTGAAATCTGAAATGAGAAAAAATTGGCCCCCCACAATTTCTTTTTATCCCCCCCCCCCCTTTTTCCCCCCAAAAAATTCTTTCCCTCAAGATATGGTCATAATCTCAATTCAAATTTCCAATGGAGTTGGCAACCATAATTACCCATTTAAATTTACCATAGGGCTAACTTAATCTATTTTATAATAGAATTAATAAAAATATAGTGTCAAATCTTTCATATGGATTTTTTTGTAAAAAAAAAAGATGGAAACATTTGCAGATATTTTTACTGGTCTTCCTTTATAAATATGCATTTCTTTAAACATAATTTAAAAGCAGTGTAAGGGAAGTAACCAAAACGTTGTATTTGGATTACCTCCCTTACACTGTTTTAGATTATCTTTATTGTTCATTAACCATTACTTTATACATAATTTAAAAGCAGTGTAAGGGAGATAATTTCAATGATGTATTTGATTTATCTCCCTTACACTGCTTTAAATTATGTTTTGTACTAAAGTATTTGTCCATTAACCAGGACAACCTTGTTTTTCCCCCTTTTTTGCCCCTAATTCCTAAACGGTTTGAGCCATAACCCCCCAAAGCAAATCCTAACCATCCCTTGGTGGTATGGAAACTTGTAGTATAATTTCAGAGAGATCCATACACCGTTCCACAGTTATTGTCTGGAAACTAGAAAATGCTCATTTTTGGCCCCTTTTTGGCCCCTAATTCCTTAACTGTTGGTACCATAACCCCCAAAATCAATCCCAACCTTCCTTTTGTGGTATTTAACCTTATGGTCAAATTTCAAAAAGATCCATTCACTTAAACTAAAGTTAGAGTGCGAAAACCAATATGTATTCGGACGACGACGCCGGACGACGACGACGACGACGCCAACGTCATACCAATATACGACCACAAAATTTTTTTGCGGTCGTATAATAAAATGCTCTGCTGGGGCGCAGCTTGATAAGACTGCAAAGGTCGAACCCTGAACAGTTGGGGCAAGTATGGACACAACATTCAAGCTTGATTCAGCACTGAATTTGGATTGTAATTAAATATTTGACACAGCATAGGTTTCTGACACAGAATGAAAGTGGTCTAAGAACTTAAAAAATTTTAATTTACCTATTCAAACCATATCATTATTTGCTTTTATATATAAATCAGAAATAACCAATTTAAAATGGAAAATTTTAAAGAAAAAAAAGGGAAAAAAAATCTCCCCCAAATTTTTTGAACCCCCTTATGATTCATCACCCCCAAACTCAATCCCAGCCTTCCATTTGTGGTATGGTACCTTGCAGTACAATTTCAGAGAGATCCATACACTTGAACACAAGTTATTGTCTGGAAACTAGAAAAATGCTTGTTATTTGGCCCCTTTTTGGCCCCAAATTCCTAAACGTTTAGGGCAATTACCCCCAAACTCAAACCCAGCTTTCCCTTTGTGATATGGAACCTTGCAGTACAATTTCATAAAGATCCATACACTTACACACAAATTATTGTCCTGAAACTAGAAAAATGCTTGTTTTTTGGCCCTTTTATGGCCCCTAATTCCTAAAATTTTGAGGGAATTACCCCCAAAATCAATCCCAGCCTTCCCTTTGTGGTATGGTACCTTGCAGTACAATTTCAGAGAGATCCATACACCTGAACACAAGTTATTGTCTGGAAACTAGACAAGAGTGCACACGCTGAAATGTCTCGCCTTCTTTACTAATCATTTATATTATGTTGATAGTCCTAAATATAAAGCTTTATTACAACTGTCACATAAACTTAACATTAACCAAGTAAACTAAACATTGACCAATGAACCATGAAAATGAGGTCAAGGTCAGATGAACCATGCTAGGCAGGCATGTACAGCTAACAATTCTTCCATACAACAAATATAGTTGACCTATTGTTTATAGTTTAAGAAAAACAGACCAAAACACAAAAACTTAACACTGAGCAATGAACCTTGAAAATGAGGTCAAGGTCAAATAAAACCTGCCTGACTGACATATAGATCATTAAATATTTCCATACACCAAATATAGTTGAACTATTGCATATAGTATTAGAAAAAAAGACCAAAACTCAAAAACTTAACTTTGACCACTGATCCATGAAAATGAGGTCAAGATCAGATGACACCTGACAGCTAGACATGTACACCTTACAATCATTCCATACACCAAATATAGTAGACCTATTGCATACAGTATAAGAACAAGAGTGCACACGCTGAAATGTCTCGCCTTCTTTACTAACCATTGATATTATGTTGATAGTCCTAAATATAAAGCTTTACTACAACTATCACATACACTTAACATGATCCAAGAAAATGAGGTCAAGGTCATATAAACCAAACAAGAAATACATGTACACCTTACAATCATTCAATACACTAAATATAGTTGACCTATTGTTTATAGTTTCTAAGATACAGACTTAACCAAGAAAACTAAACATTGACCAATGAACCAATAAAATGAGGTCAAGGTCAGATGAACAATGCCAGGCAGACATGTAATACAGCTTGCAATCCTTCCATACAACAAATATAGTTGACCCTATTGCTTATAGTATTAGAAAAACAGACCAAAACACAAAAACTTAACACTGAGCAATGAACCGTGAAAATGAGGTCAAGGTCAAATAAAACCTGCAAGACTGACAGGTATATCATAAAATATTTCCATACACCAAATATAGATGACCTATTGCATAAAGTATTAGAAAAAAAGACCAAAACTCAAAAACTTAACTTTGACCACTGAACCATGAAAATGAGGTCAAGGTCAGAAGACACCTGCCAGCTAGACATGTACACCTTACAATCATTCCATACACCAAATATAGTAGACCTATGGCATACAGTATAAGAAATACAGACCAAAACACAAAAACTTAACTATAACCACTGAACCATGAAAATGAGGTCAAGGTCAGATGACACCTGCCAGTTGGACATGTACACCTTACAGTCCTTCCATACACGGAATATACTAGACCTATTGCTTATAGTATCTGAGATATGGACTTGACCACCAAAACTTAACCTTGTTCATTGATCCATGAAATGAGGTCGAGGTCAAGTGAAAACTGTGTGACGGGCATGAGGACCTTGCAAGGTACGCACATACCAAATATAGTTGAACTATTGCATATAGTATTAGAAAAATAGACCAAAACTCAAAAACTTAACTTTGACCACTGAACCATGAAAATGAGGTCAAGGTCAGATGACACCTGCCCGCTAGACATGTACACCTTACAATCATTCCATACACCAAATATAGAAGACCTATGGCATACAGTATAAGAAAAACAGACCAAAACACAAAAACTTAACTATAACCACTGAACCATTAAAATGAGGTCAAGGTCAGATGACACCTGCCAGTTGGACATGTACACCTTACAGTCCTTCCATACACCGAATATACTAGACCTATTGCTTATAGTATCTGAGATATGGACTTGACCACCAAAACTTAACCTTGTTCATTGATCCATTTAATGAGGTCGAGGTCAAGTGAAAACTGTCTGAGGGGCATGAGGACCTTGCAAGGTACGCACATACCAAATATAGTTATCCTATTACTTATAATAAGAGAGAATCTAACATTACAAAAAATCTTAACTTTTTTTTCAAGTAGTCATTGAACCATGAAAATGAGGTCAAGGACATTGGACATGTGACTGACGGAAACTTCGTAACATGAGGCATCCATATACAAAGTATGAAGCATCCAGACCTCCCACCTTCTAAAATATAAAGCTTTTAAGAAGTTAGCTAACGCCGCCGCCGCCGTAGCCGCCGCCGGATCACTATCCCTATGTCGAGCTTTCTGCGACAAAAGTCACAGGCTCGACAAAAACAGACCAAAACACAAAAACTTAACACTGAGCAATGAACCTTGAAAATGAGGTCAAGGTCAAATAAAACCTGCGTGACTGACATATAGATCATAAAATATTTCCATACACCAAATATAGTTGAACTATTACATATAGTATTAGAAAAAAAGACCAAAACTCAAAAACTTAACTTGAACCACTGAACCATGAAAATGAGGTCAAGGTCAGATGACACCTGCCAGCTAGACATGTACACCTTACAATCATTCCATACACCATTTATAGTTGACCTATTGCATATAGTATTAGAAAAAAAGACCAAAACTCAAAAACTTTACTTTGACCACTGAACCATGAAAATGAGGTCAAGGTCAGATGACACCTACCAGTTGGACATGTACACCTTACAATCATTCCATATACCAAATATAGTAGACCTACTGCTTATAGTATCTGATATATGGAATTGACCACGAAAACTTAACCTGGTTCACTGATCCATGAAATGAGGTCGAGGTCAAATGAAAATTGTCTGACGGGCATGAGGACCTTGCAAGGTACGCACATACTAAATATAGTTATCCTATTACTCATAATAAGAAAGAAATTAACATTACAAAAAATGTTGACTTTTTTTTTCAAGTAGTCACTGAACCATGAAAATGAGGTCAAGGACATTGGACATATGACAGACGGAAACTTCGTAACATAAGGCATCTATATACAAAGTATGAAGCATCCAGGTCTTCTAGCTTCTAAAATATAAAGCTTTTAAGAAGTTAGCTAACGCCGCCGCCGCCGTAGCCGGATCACTATCCCTATGTCAAGCTTTCTGCGACAAAAGTCGCAGGCTCAACAAAAAATGCTTATTTTTTGCCCCTTTTTGGCCCCTTATTCCTAAACTTTTTAAGCAATTACCCCCAAACTCAATTCCAGCTTTCCCTTTGTGATATGGAACCTTGTAGTACAATTTCATAAAGATCCATACATTTACACACAAGTTATTGTCATGAAACTAGAAAAATGCTTGTTTTTTGCCCCTTTTTGGCCCCTAATTCCTAAAATTTGGAGGCAATTACCCCCAAAATAAATCCCAGCATTCCCTTTGTGATATGAAACCTTTTGGTACAATGTCAGAGAGATCCATACACTTACACAAGTTATGTCTGGAAGTTACAAAAATGCTTATTTTTGGCCCCTTTTTGGCCCCTATTTCCTTAACTGTCGGTACCATAACCCCCAAAATCAATCCCCACCTTCCTTTTGTGGTATTGAACCTTATGGTAAAATTTCATAGAGATCCATTCACTTAAACTAAAGTTAGAGTGTGAAAACTAATGTGTCTTCGGACGACAACGACGATGACGCCAAAGTCATACCAATATAGGACCACAAAAATTTTTTTGTGGTCGTATAAAAATCAGTTAAAAGAGGCTCAACTCATCAGATGGATAAAAATACAAATACTACAAATACAAGTGGATGTGGCCGGGAACTTGTACATCCAAACAACAAAAAGACACTGAGAGTACTCGCAGTTACTGACAGCTAGTTTAAAGCCACTAACAACTAATTAAAAAAATCATGCATCAAAGACTAAATTATCAATCCATACACATCCAATGGATTTAGTTTAAAGACGTCATAAACAGTCAGAGAAAAACATGACCTTGTGCAATGCCAAGATACAGGTATTGACAGATTGTAGATCCATGAATGTGTATATGTATATAACAATAATAATTAGTTTGCTTTTAATTTACTGATAACAAAATTAATATTAGTACCAATAAAAACAATATTTAATGATCTTATTACAGTGTTGAATTGGTAACCTTTTAGAATAAGTTTATTTAAAGGATCGATAAGTTTACCAGGATCGTTTCTAAATTTCTGGGCACGGTAAACAATATTGCCGTAAAAATGAGGATGTGCAATCCCGTTTGAAATAAGTTTCTACAGGTACAACCAAACTTCAAAACCAAATCTTTATATCTGTGGAAGAATTTAGTAAAGGTTTTAAGTAATTTGTGGTAACGAAATCCCTGGCTTAATAATTTACCAGTAATACATAGATTACATTCGTAAAAATCAAAAACGTCACAAAAGACACGGGCATAGCGAACGAGTTGTGAAATATAAACACCGTAAGATGGTGCCAAAGGAACATCACCATCCAAAAAGGGAAATTTAACAATAGGGAACGAAAAATCGTCCCTTTTGTCGTAAATTTTAGTGTGGAGTTTCCCGTGTAAAACCGAAATATCTAAATCTAGGAAAAGACAGTTGTTACCATTTAAATTTGATTTTAAATTATTTAAAGCAAGTTCCTTTGGGTAAATTTAGGCAGTATATTGAGAAAATTCTTGATTATTTAACGAAAAAATGTCATCAAGATAACGGTAAGTGTTGTTGAATTTATCAATTAAATGCAATTTAGACGGGTTTTTACTGAGTTTAGTCATAAACTGTGATTCATAACAGTACAAAAACAAGTCTGCTATTAAAGTGGCGCAATTAGTGCCCATAGGAATACCTACAACCTGTTGATAAACTTTGCTGCCGAAACGTACATAAATATGATCAAGGAGAAAATTAACAGCTTCAATCATCTCATCACACCTCTACTATAGAGTTAAAAAAAATAAAATGACATTTTTATAAAGGAGTTAGTCCTGTAAGGGCTAGTTTTGGCCTAAAATTCGAACTACATCTGATGAAAGATTTTAGATTTTTTTTAAACATTTAAGTGTCTAATTCAGTCTATTCAATTCATTTATGTAAAATATTTGAACTGATTTGGTCATTAGAGATGCTCAAATACAAGCTTAAAATGAAAAATCTATCAAATATGCAATAAAACGTCACTTTTCAGATGGTTTTTATCTTAAATGGAATTGGCCGCATTCGTGTTCATTCTCAACCTTTATATATGTTATGTATTATTCTAAATTTACAACATATATTTAAATATTAAGTATGAACACAAATGTGGCCAATTCCATTTTAGACAAAAACTGCCTTAAAATTAGCACAAATGCGTGAAGATTTTAGTAATTTTGCATGAATTTATGATGCTATTACCTGATGCATGTGCATTGTATTGTCAAAATCAGCCCATATTTATGGAACACAAGTATTATACTTTCCAATAAAGAGCTTAAAGTTTACATTTCAACAAATTTGTAAAAATTCTATATTTTGGGGCCAAAAGGGGGTCTTACCGGTCCTACTCCTTTGGTGTGTCTACAGTACAGAGTTTTTTATGTCCCCATTTCTTATCGAATGAATATTGTTCTTAAAACATTTAACTGGCTATGTAGAGGTGTTTATATTTGTCTCTGAAAGCTTTGAAGGTTTGTCCTACCACTTCCTACATTACCTAACATACTTTACATGGCTACCGTATGTAGAGAGGGGTTTATATCTGTCTCTGAAAGCTTTGAAGGTTTGTCCTACCACTTCCTACATTACCTAACACACTTTACATGGCTATGTAGAGAGGGGTTTATATCTGTCTCTGAAAGCTTTGAAGGTTTGTCCTACCACTTCCTACATTACCTAACATACTTTACATGGCTACCGTATGTAGAGAGGGGTTTATATCTGTCTCTGAAAGCTTTGAAGGTTTGTCCTACCACTTCCTACATTACCTAACACACTTTACATGGCTATGTAGAGAGGGGTTTATATCTGTCTGTGAAAGCTTTGAAGGTTTGTCCTACCTCTTCCTACATTACCTAACACACTTTACATGGCTATGTAGAGAGGGGTTTATATCTGTCGCTGAAAGCTTTGAAGGTTTGTCCTACCACTTCCTACATTATCTAACACACTTTACATGGTTATGTAGAGAAGAGGGGTTTATATCTGTCGCTGAAAGCTTTGAAGGTTTGTCCTACCACTTTCTACATTACCTAACACACTTTACATGGCTTTGAAGAGAGGGGTTTATATCTGTCTCTGAAAGCTTTGAAGGTTTGTCCTACCACTTCCTACATTACCTAACATACTTTACATGGCTATGTAGAGAGGGGTTTATATCTGTTTCTGAAAGCTTTGAAGGTTCGTCCTACCACTTCCTACATTACCTAACACACTTTACATGGCTATGTAGAGAGGGGTTTATATCTGTCTCTGAAAGCTTTGAAGGTTTGTCCTACCACTTCCTACATTACCTAACACACTTTACATGGTTATGTAGAGAAGAGGGGTTTATATCTGTCGCTGAAAGCTTTGAAGGTTTGTCCTACCACTTTCTACATTACCTAACACACTTTACATGGCTTTGAAGAGAGGGGTTTATATCTGTCTCTGAAAGCTTTGAAGGTTTGTCCTACCACTTCCTACATTACCTAACATATTTTACATTCTTATAAGGTCATTACAAACAATAATCAATATTCCCTTTTGTCCCATTGATGTATGTCAGTAGCCATATGTTTCTGACAGATCCAGTTTGTAGATGACAAAATAATTCAATAATCTTTTTCTCCTACTTGTTTTTCACATTAGAGATTAGCTTTTTTTCATTTTCATTGATGAAATATTATCGAAGGATATTCTTGTAGGAGGGTTTGGAACTGGGTAATAAGAAGGACAATTAATATTTGGTTTGAATATTTCTGTCACTCCTCAACTGAACTGATTAATCTAAAGAATAGAAAGCGAACTATAACAGCCAAACTCATGAAAGTTGATTAATTTTTTTGATCACATCTCAACTTAATCGATTATGCACCAAGTCTATATCCCTGATGATGAATAAACCAATGACCTTTCCTTAGTTACAAACAAGAATCTTTGCTGCATAGATTTGACACAAACACAGATTTGCAAGGAAACTGCAGCTCATAGAAATGACAAGGGGAGCTACTAGGGTCATTTTACTTTTAAAAAAACCCCTATTATTACAATAAGTTCAATTATTAATTTGACATTGTATATAAAGAGAATGAAGCAACTTTTTGCTATCTTCCCATTAGCTTTTCCCTAAACATAAAAGCATTTATAAAATTTCAACTTCTTATTTATCATCTTGACACCTTTAAATTCAGCTATAACAACCATTAAAAAGAAGGGTTTTGAATAATTATTTGGTAAAGGTGTGTGCAGTCTATCAGAATTTACTTTTGTATTTTACATACTATGATAAGAAGAAAAGACTCAAGATTGGTAATGCTTTATAAAATTGAACACGAAAAGGTTGCAATACCTAAAAATAATAAATTAATCCCACAAAAAAGACAAACAAGACATTCAAATTTGAACAGCTTCCAAATTCCATCCTGCAAAACACAGTACAGAAAAGAATCCTATTTTCCAAGAACTATTACCGACTGGAACAAACTACCGGACAACATTGTAAATTGCACTTCAGTAGACTCTTTCAAATCTTCAATTTCAAAGCATCAATATTAACTCAACTATTACATCATACTTAATTATACAAAGCATTTTTTAATTTTTTCGTATTTTTTAAAGATTGTATATATATCAATCTATGTCTTGTTGTAAGTTTCCTCCTGTGACATAATCTTCAATTTGTTGAAGGCGGCCACTATATGGTAGAATAGAAGTAGATAAGTACAAGTTATAAGAGATTGTATTACACTTTACAATTTATCTGAAGACTATAATCCAGTTTCACTGATGTGTTGTAAGAATAAGCTAACTAATGTATTCTTTTTGTGGCAAACTACATTCATAATCTAGTTGGGGTCACCAACTTCGTTATGTCACTATAGCAACCTCAGTTTCATGTTTTCACCAAAAATGAACAATATTTAGTTGTTATAAAAAACAATGCTTTCAATCAGTTTAATTGAGGTCTGGAGCTGGCTTGTCAGTAACTGCTAGTAAGTCCTTTGTTAATTTATGTATCAATGTCATTTTGCTTAGTTTCTTTTGTTACCTATTCTGACATCGGACTCGGATTTCTTTTTGAACTGAGTTTTACTGTGCGTATTGCTGTGTGTTTGTTTATTCTACATTGGCTAGAGGTATAGAGGGAGGGTTGAGATCTCACAAAAAATGTTTAACCCCGCTGCATTTTTGCGCCTGTCCCAAGTCAGGAGCCTCTGGCATTTGTTAGTCTTGTATGTTTTTTTAATTTTAGTTCATTTATATGTTTTGGAGTTGAGTGTGACATCCATTTTCACTGAACTAGTACACATTTTTGTTTAGGGGCCAGCTGAAGCCCGCCTCCTGGCGCAGGATTTTCTCGCTGTGTTGAAGACCCATTGGTGGCCTTCGGCTGTTTTCTGCTCTTTGGTCGGGTTGTTGTCTCTTTGACACATTCCCCGTTTCCATTCTCAATTTTATGTTAGTAGAAATAGTGGCAAACTAAAGTTGTACATTACTCAGAAACACTGCATGATATTATCTCAGCAAATAATAAGTTGAATAAAACTGTTTGCTCTATACAACTATATGTAGTCCTTATAATTACAACATTAATCTAAAATAATGAGACATCAGGTTATGTTTTATTGAGCAAATCAGCAAAAACATCATCACTATATATCAGTTTGCTAACTACAACAACAAAATCTTCTAATATCATGTAACAGAAAAATGTTCATGTCCATGCCTGTATAGGTTATTTGTGGCCATGGAAATTGATTGTTCCTATATCTGTTTCATGTAAGATGTCCTATTCTGAAAAGTTTAGCAGGACTACTGATATTTTAAGTATAAAATATGGACATTTAGTCAATTCTAAAATGTAAGTTTGACTGATCTATTCAGGACCTAAACCAAGTAAGTTAATGCTGTTAATTCACAGAAAGCCAGATCAGACCATTCATTACCCAATAATTAGAGGAACTTGAATCCTAGGAATACATTATCATTGATTTTTCAGCTCAGATAAAGGAAGGCAATCAAATATGGCTTTGTTACTACACATTCAAACAGATCAGAACATAAAAAATATATTCTGTTAATTAAAACTGTCATTTTACTATGTACTTCAGAGGACAAATATCAATGAAAATCTATACAACAGAAAAGAAAACAATCTTTAAACAGGCGACTGAAATCATACAACAACTTGATACAACCTACACATTTCCTAAATGGTAATCTTGTTAAATATCAGCCTACCCTTCCAGGCATATACAGGAATAAAGTGTGGGATAACAAAATGGCTGAATATAATGGCTGAATATAATCTTCAGAAATTAAAGGGCTCAGCAATAGGCAATCAAAAAAAGGTTGTATTTTCCATTTATGAGCCTGGAAATATAAAAGTTAAATAGGTCGAGTAGAAAAGCTAGATTTCTTTAAATATTGACTAAATATTAATTTTATTGAATTCATTTCAAAATTTCTTTAATTTGCAGTATTGCATGCTAAAACTATTTACTTTCATAAACCAGTTAATTTCGCTATGAAAATTCCTTTAAACAAGTTAAACCTGTGTAAAATGACAGAAAATACAGTGAAATAGCATCTTAGACCCCTGAAAGTGTGTTTTCAAAAATATCAAATATAAGGTGGTCAGGATATTATTTAAATGCCTTCATCAAGTCTGGTTCCAGTAGTATACACAATATTTACTTTTCATGGTAATAAAATGGTATTTAGAAGAGGATGATATATTACATCACAGAGAAACTAAAGACAATAGAACTACAGGTTAAATAAAAAACTTTCAAACACCTCCTTAAATCCTTATTAAAAATCTTCTGAGAGACATACAAATCAATAGAAACATACACAATGTATCTCATCAATTCCTTTTACTTCAAAGTTTAAAAATAACAATTCCTCCCACTGACATTGAGATCTGTCATTTCTATTTTCAGTTGTTAAACAATTACTGAAAATATAACAAATCCTATAGAAATTCTGACATCAAAAGGACAGATTTTTTTCCCTTAAATATACTTGTCCCAACATGAAGCAGTTACAATGGAAACATCTAAAAAAAAACTAGTTTGTGACAGACAAAAGTATAAAATGTTTACTGACTAATCAATATTCAATAAAGGTTCATAAACTACTTCTGCAAACAATTCAATAATTCATCAAAGGAAGATAGCATTTTATATAATTAGATCTCTATTTAAATTGAGGACAGGCAAGTTTAACAAGAAGCAAAATGTGTGTACACTAGTCAGGCTAGGGGCAACAATATGGACAAAATATCTGTTTTATCATAACTTTTTAAACATAACAGTTTGTAAATGTCAAAACAAAAATAGGTAAATTGTTCAATTCAAATATTCAGGATTCCAAGACAACTTTTATGATACCAGAAAGTAATTCAATTAAAATGGGGTAAAATCAGTGTTTAACATGTGTAAGGATGTACTCAGGTCAGGTTTATGAATTTTTGTCAGATGTTCGAACTTCTTTGGTTTTTTCCTACAATACAGGGCAAAAAATTTTGCCCCATATCACCCACTTTTCTTTTCATCTAGAAGACTTCAATAGCTCATAAAAAGGTCATTACCAAAATTTAAGTAAATTGTAGATTTTTTTTTCTTACCATTTGAGACCCAAATAATGCCAATGCTAAATAAAAGGTAAAAGTCAGTCAGTCTTTTCCAGCCATTTTTTAAAAATCAAATATCGCAAACAGGAGTTCCATAACCTATCAATATTTTTAGCTTATTTTGTTCCTTTACAAATTAATGCTCTTCTGACTTTTAGTATCAATTTTAAATTCTTGATTTTTATTATTTCACCTAACTACATCCTTAATGTAACAAGAAAAAGTGCTATTTTATAGTTCAACCCTCTAATACCAGTATGTTAGTTTAGTTTGAATGTAGCCACCTACCAAACAAAAAATTTATTACCTTTTTATCCTATGTCTATAAAAATAGTTGTTTTTGCTTCTGCAATTATTTTATTGTTCATTTTTTTCATTGTTTGTAGTGTTTAAAGTAATATGCAAGTTTTTTTCTCTCATGTCAGAAGGCAAAAGATTTTTGAGGAAGCCCATCTTTAATTTGTTGCATATGTAAATTTCTCATTGACTATGACCTTACAGTTGTTTTACATTGCACCTTTCAATTTGAGTTGTTCCCCTTCATGTCTTATCCAGTGTTCTGCTCTTTCACAAGTTTCTACTCTAGTCTATATCTCACTAATTTCAAGAAATGAGATATTTACTATAAAAAACATTTCGCTAAAACTTTTCCACAAAAAAAACAAAAATTTTTTATGAATGTTCTTCATTTCAGAATTATCAGTAAAGGATTTTTCTGTCTATCAACTGAAAATTTTACTTACCCATATTTGTAATTTCACTCTTTTATCTTGTCTAAATACTGTTTTAACTTTAAAATCTATTCCTACTGTGCTAACAAATGCAGAAGTAAAAGAGTCATCAGCATAACGGAAGAGAAAAGAGGTCTTTCCTACACTGCTGTTGCCTATAATTAACAGTTTGAACATATAATCAAAATTCTGGTCGGCTGCATCTTTCTGCCATTTGGAGTCACTTGCTGAAGCCATCTGAAAAACAAACACATAAAAAACTAATCAAATGTCTGGAAATTATAAGCTCAGAAGTCAAATGGATGGTTTGAATTTTAACTTTACTAAAAATCTGTAGAATAATATAATGTATAATTTGATAACTTCAGTGGGTCAACTTAATATGAATAGCATTGACATTATAATGGTGTTGGTATGCCATGTCAGTTTTAGCTGTGAGCATTGTATGTCCAGTCAGAATGAGAATGTTTAAGCTGATGCCTTATAGGGAAAGTGCATTTAAATAACTCTTGTAACTTTTTGAGGGGTCCATAGATGCCCTGATATCCATCAAAATGTCTGCTCCAATCCAACATGCCCACATGTACATTTTCCATTGGTTATTCAAATTTCCTGCCCTGGCTTAATCCCTGTCTACCTACTTTGCAGATCTTGCTAATCTATCTTCACCTTGTGTATTCATGAAATATTAGCAGATGGACATTAAAAACAATTTGAATCATTGTGGGAAACAATTGTACTTTGTTCCTTGTCTACTAAAGATTGTATACACTGTACATTAGTTCTTGTCACTATTACTCCGATCTTGCAAAATGTGTGTACTCAGATTCAGTTGGAACTGGATAGTATAGTTAAAAGGTGGCAATAATGTAAATTCATACAATACTTTCCCTTGTATTGTATAATACTAGAACACACCCGCGAAACCGCGGGTATTTAGAGGTTGGTTGAAAGTACGGTAAACTGTTGTAGGATGAATTCTTGTAAAAGATTTTATGTCTGGAGAATTTCAGAAAAGGTATCAAACTGAGTCAATGGCACTTGGAGACAGGACAATTATTTTAAGCCCTCTCCCTTTTTTCCAAAGTCCGTTATTGTTTTGCTCTCTGTTAAATTCCATGATTTTCGGGTTTCTGTATACTATGAACATACATATAATATAAATAAAATGTATTTGCTATTAACTATCAATTCCAAGTTTCTTCTCCACGGCGATCACTGCTATATTATATAGAGAGTCTCTATATATTATAGGATTATAATCATAGTATACATGCAGAATAACGTGAAAATTATTGTCCGGTCCCCGAGTAATTATGAAAATTATGTTTAAAGAGGGGAGTAAAAAAGGGGGGTATCTGCACGTGGAAGATCGCGAAATAACATTGCCATTTCACGATGAGCGAACAATTAAAAATTTCTTGCACGTTGATCTTTTTATCGATTTCAAGAAATACGGTGAATAACGAACCTTTAAAAAGTGGCAAAACACGTTGCACGAAAATAACCCTTTACCCCCTCTTTTTTAAAGTTTAAAATCAGAAGTTTTGGGTATGACTTAAAAGTTGGTCTGATGACGAAAACAATATCCGGACGCCTTTTTCTTTGTTTTTCTCCCAAAATAACCCAAACTGAATAATCATAAGAATGGATGACAAATGCGACTATGCATGGTACCTATAGGACACAGAGGCATGATGATTAATTTATTGGGGAAGGAAGAGAAGCGACACACAAAATGAGGTCTTCTCGTTTAAAATAGTATAAAAGATTAACTCTTCATTCAAATTAACTCAAGAAAAACTGTGATCCATGGGAAGTTTATTGCCATTACTTCAATAAGTTTGTCTAATATAAGAATCAATAGCTACAATCATTCTCCATTAAAGTGACCATCCCACAAGTCAAATCAATTCTGTATTGAACATTTTCTACACAAAATAAATGCTATTAAGGATTTTTCATCTCTATCTGATTTTTATTGACTTTTTGCGTTAACAATTGTTTTAATACTGATTTGTTAAGTTACAATGGACTTGATGGAATTCAATTCAAAACAACACAAATATTTAAAGAGATTTCAGATTATCAGAACCAGAGAGCTCTTTCTCTTCTCAGTGTATGCCATACAGAGGTTCTAATATCATTATATCTTAAATTATATAAACAGGGAATGGTTAGTTGGTTACATTCAAATAAGTTAAAAATACTCTCTTAAAAAACTGAAACACATTTGTTATAAAATATATATTATATATATGTTATATGAAAGATACAAAATTTATGTGTACACTGACCTAGCCACAATTATTGTAGAGGCAGTTAACCTTCTTGGTAATCTGAAAAGGCAAGGACACTACAGTCTGATTCACAGCATGAGTAACCATATTAACAATAATCATTCTACCAGGCTGTTACATGTACTTATATAATAATACTTTCTGCCATCTGTCAGCACATTGTGAACAGTAAGGCTTTCAAATATTCGGCTTTGAGCGTTCCTGATGAAAGTAAATCTAGAAATTGCGCTTCGGACACATGAAATTATTTAACGTGTTGTTTTTATTTTTTAAGACTTTTTACCTTCATTTTAATGTACTTGTAAATTGATCAAAAGTCCACAAACACTGGTTTGGTTAATTGAGAGACAAGTACAAATAAAACACACATACTACTTCCATATATATAAAAATAAGAAGATGTACACTTATGCTTACTTTGACCATTCAGGACATGATAAAACTACGGAAACTGAATATTAAGCTTTTTTGAATCATTTTAATATACTGTGAACTCCTTTATTTTCGTGGGCACCAATTTACATGGATTAAGAAAAAATTGTATTCTTGTGGATATTTGATTTCATCATTTTACAAAAGTCTGCATACAAGCCTATAAAAATGCATACTTTGTTGAACGTTTTAATTCATAGATCACCTGTACTGATGAATTCTAATGAATCTACAATAGTGTTAACTGTGGATATTTATGCAATATATTTGGGGGGGGGGGAGAGATTTTCAATGTCATTTGTTACTCATTGTCTTGTTCTTATTAACCCTGGCCTTTCAACAAATCTATAAAAAGATTTGATAACTTTGGATCAAACATTAATATGGTTGATTTTTTTATCATAAAATCTATAAAATTGACAGACACTATAAAATTGAATATTGTCTGCTGATTTAACTACAAATATGACAATACATGTAGTGAAAACTGATAACAGTAAAGACAACACATCATACAAGTTGTATCACATGAATAGACTGCAAGATAGGAAGGTGCTGACACTGCAGACAGTTTGCAAATGTAAGGTACCATACCAAGTTGAAAATCAATGTTCATATTCCTAAATATGACTTTCAATATAAAACAAATCAAAGGAAATGTAGGACCAAAAAAAATATCATTCATGAGACAGAAACTAAGAAACACAAACAAAATACCAAAAAAACATCTAGAGGCAAGCTCAGTCCTAAAAATGTAATCACTAAATAATTCTTTTGTGTGGTGCTAATAAATGGACTGGAAAAATAAACTGAAAATCAAAATAATCTTTCATTAAATGAAGCCAACTATTTTATTAAATAATCTTATCAATTGTGCAGGTTCAGCAAAATATTTAGACAGTATTATAAATTTATGAAAAATGTCCTAAAACATTAATAATGATTTATATTTGAGATATTAAACACCATCTAAATATTACTAAATCATTTTGCTATAATAAAGCTATATAACTGTATAGACTTACAGACATTTAGCAGAAGTTCCCCTGTAATGTTAATCAATGGACAGTAACAAAAATCCTTCCTCACAGCTGTAACATATAGATCCAAAATAGCTTTAGATTAATTCTTAAATAATAAAAACTCCACTACTATCAAAAATTAATTTCTCCCAAGGAAACTAGGAATAGAAATTCAGTTCCAGGCAGAATTGAGATTTGTAGAGATACAGCAGAAAGCTGGTGAAACTGATGAGAAAAATCAATGTTCGTACCAGTAGAGTGGTTACTGAAAATCCAATATCTTCTATTAGGCCAGTCAGAGGAGAAAACAAATCTATGTTCAATAACATGTATAGAAGCACACAAGAATCAATGAGAAATATTGGCATTTACAGTGTAGTATGGTAGAGATAGAGAAATGATCTGTTAAGTCATATTAAACAGCTATAAATTAGTCAATTATAGTATAGGGCAAACTATCTGACATACACTATATATAGCAGTAAAACAATTTACTCAGTATGAATTTTCAAAGTTCATTGTTGACGAAACCATATATGTTTGTTAATCTTTCAGTGCTTTGTGAAGAATTCATTGTTTAGGCCTAGAAAACTCATGTCCACAATTTAAAGTACTTGCAATGACAAGAAGTTGAACTGTGAGCTATGGTTCACTTATCATTCCCTTGTTTTAACTGCAAGTTTAACTTTAAGTATTCTGTTAACAGGAAGATGATGAGCAATGGATGATAAAAGCATCACATGGTCTAGCATGCTCACATAATAAAAATAATTTAAAGCATGATTCCAAATTTCGGAATGCCTTGATTTGTGGTTATTGAGAAAAATGCAACAAAGACATCATAATTTACCATTACAGTTAAGAATATTTAAGTATTTGGTATTTGATAAGTTATAGATCTGCAAATGCATCACACAGTACAGAATGTGTACATGATACCAAGTTAGGGGAAGCTCTGGTTTGCAGAACCTGAGAAAAATCCAACCAAATGTTATGTACGGAAGTATGGACAGACACATACCAGTAAACCCCTTCTTTAGAGCTGAAGTATAGAAACAAATGAACTTATTCTTTCAGCTTTGATCTACAGCCAAATGTAAAGAGGTTAAAACATATAGGCATTATATCAATATATTAGGTATGTATATGTGTGTTTAAAATTTTATTATTAAGAAGATTGAAACTATGTATAAAATGAATGAAAATACCATGTTGAGAACCATCAATCTAAATGTGACGTCAGCATCCACTAATATCATTTATAAACAATACAATAGAATTCACACAAGTGGGATGAATATAATTTCATTTGACAGCATTTCCAATACAGATCAATAACAAAAAATTCCCAAATCCATTAGATATTCTTACCCCACTGGGATTTCACAGCCAAATCCAACAGCAACTGAATATGTAAAATTCAAGAAAACAAGTTCAATATAATAGCTTATATGATAACTTATGTACTTACATCTTAGTGTCA